CGGGGGGAGGGAGGAAGGCCAAGGAAACAGCCAGAATCCAGGCTGGTAACTGTGTTTTAAAAGTAAGACATTTAAGGAAGAGGCCAGCTCAAGTGATCAGGAGAACGGTGAGCCTATCTTTCCAGATACTGGAAACCAGCAGCAAACTGGTTTAACACAGCAGTGGCTGGCAGGGGATTTGCTCTCTGCATAATCTCAGAGGGAGAAAGAGTTGTTCAAGATAAAGGATACCACCAGCATAGGACTACATGTTGGCCAGGCATAAACTGAGGTTAGACACGGGAAAGTTTCTCATCATTGGGGAGGTGCAGTCTTCCACTGAGAACAGCAAGTGAGCATTCACCTTTTTGTCCCCAGTAAAAGGGCTTAATCAGTAATCAGGGCTTAATCAGGAGTTATTTGGCATAGTTCTGATAAAAAAGAACAGGTTTCCCACATCTGATGCTACCTGTAGGCCTTCATGTATTTAAAATGCTTAGGATTCCCCCCAAAGTTGTTATGTATGCAAGAGGTTTTTGCTTAATGAAGAGCTTTCTAGGTCTAGCACTTCTGATGAAAAGACACAGATATGTTTTGCAGCATATAATCAAACTTTTTTTGACTAAAAAAAGAAGCTGTTCCCCCCTGGATGTGTAAGTTCTTTAACTCAATTTTATTAACCTGATAGTTCATAGATACCAAAGTTCACCTTAGCAGAAGAATGGCTATTTGCTTGATTTTATGAAATGAATCTATGAACCACAAACAACACCAAGTTTCTACAACTATCAATTAAAACAGTTTTAATTAAGTCACCATATTTGAAAGGAGTGCCACAGACATGAGCGTCACTTGAGAGTAATTAATGACTATTTGCAATAGCTTTCTCCTGAACATCTTACTTGTGTAACATGCTGTTATGCTTCCACCCCTCCCAGTATATTCAGAACCAAGTTTATTTTACATTTGCACTTTTTGACAAGTCATGATAATACTTATAAAAAAACATATAAAAGACTTAACTTATGCTAAATGCTATTACCATACCATCCTTTTTATTGGGAAGGCCCATTTTCTTTTGTCTTCTCTCCTTCTCAGTTTTAGTTATGCAAGGATTTTCCAGAGCTGGAATTCTCCTCTGTGTTTTGAATTCATTAGAAAGTTAGGTTCTAGCATTATTCATAATACAGATAAGTCTATACAGTATTCCCAGAAAGCCAGTACTGTACAGAAAAAATAAAGGACACGTCTGTAACAGGATTCTCTTCTTCAGCAAGAATCATAAATACAGCTGATCATACGTGCCATGACTGAGCTTCTTACACAGTTCTGAAGTCTGCAGATTTTTATGGTCTGTAAAATTATAAAATATAGGCGTGGCAGACACCTTGGGAAGTCACCTCGCCTTTCCAAAACAGGATCACATACAATATACAGCATTACCAAATTAAAAAGGTGTTACAAAACAGAAAGATATATAACATATAATACAAGAGCGAGTGGGTATTGAAAAAGCTTGGTTCCAAAGTACTTTAGTTTTACGGTATGCTGGTTAACGCTTCATTGAATTCCATTTTGCACATGTGGATAAATATATACATATCCACACACTTACTCTCTCCTAAGTATTGGGCTTTTGATAATAGGAGATAAATTCCCAACTGCTTGTTACACAGTGTAACAGACAGCGTTTACTTTCCACCATACAGGCACCCATACCTATACCCCATTCAGAAATCTCTTTCTACTAAAGCTACTTCTCTTACAGCTGGAAGAACTTCCCAGATGAGACTCTTCCTTCTTCTTCCCCACCCAAACAAAGTTTTGACAAAGATTATAGATCATATTTAAACCTGCTATAAGCTGCAGGAGATCCATGATCAAAAAAGACAAAGCTGTCTCATTGAACTACTTATTTTGAATCATGGGGTCCAGAACTGCAAGTTAGAAGCCTCTCAGATTATTCCTTGAGAGATGTGTCCATATGGAGTTTGCACTCATATATTGCTCACAGAATTGCTTTTGCTTTTCTGTTTTTACCTGTTATCCCTAGCAACTCAAAAAAACCTTCAAGTTTACTAAACTCTGGAGCACCTACAGTGTGTTTTAGAAACTTGTGGAGGTTTTCAACACCTTAGGCTAAAATTTGCCTCCAAAGCATGTCTGATAATTAAGAGGGTAAAGGACATAAAGAGTATGTTTCTACTCTAAGACATTTTCTAAACGAGCACCTCTCCAATACCACATAAAAATGCATACAGTTTAACATCTGAGGATTTACTGATTCTTTCTGTGGCAAATGTATATGAAATTATATGTGGCTCCACAACAAGTCCTGCAGCCGCCACAAAAACATCAGTGTTACACCAATTACCATTATACACACATGAGCTCCATGCTTTAGAGATCTCCATCCAACTGCAACAGCTGGTGGAAAAATAAATTTTAATTTTAATTTCCCCTTAGTTCAAATGGGTAATAGTCAGCAACAGCCCAGTAACAGGAATGAGAAGAGATTCTTAGGCAGCATGTGTCTGTAAAACACTCCGTAAAGGTCCTTTCTTGGGATTGACTTTGGTGGAAGAAAAAGCTTTCTTTGGAAGGGCAGTTCTTCTAGTTCTGTTTCATACAATTTTGTCAGAGGTGGAATAATAAGCAAAATAACTTGTAGGTCCCCCAAATGGGTTATTCAAAATCTCACCTCTTCCTTTCTATACTTGAAACACTACATCTTTATTTGTAAGCAAATGTTTGAATAAATTAAGGATGACTCAGTTAGTTGGGAGGGGCCCACCGCAACAGAGCAGACATAAGAATATGTAAATAATACTTTAGGTAAAAGCTATTTGTTTAAAGATGCCAATGTTTTCACTAATTCATTACCAGTACTAGTAAGTAATTTGGAGAAATAAAGTGACTTTTTTCAGTTTCTCGTAATTACACCAAAATTTACAGCAGAGGAGCTCTTTTGTTGCTTTGATGGTTGAATGTACTTGGATTTATTCTTTCATTTTAGGTACGATGATCTCTCTGGGGAGGAGTAGTAGTAGGTAGGCTTGATGTTTCCCAGGACTTCATCTTCCCAATTGGGGAGGCAGCAGAAGAAGAAAGCACAGCCGATTACAACAACAGTGCTGGCCCAACCAAAACCATAGGCCCAGCTGAACATATTAGCTCCTATCAAAGGAATTTCTTCTGTGAATTTCACTGGGTAAATGACCAAGCCTATGATCTGGAATGCAGCTAAAGGGCAGAGAAAGAAAGACAGCCAAGAGTAAACAACAATGAATTGTACTGCTTTTCACACTTAAAGCATATTTGGAGGTAACTGCATTGCCCTCTCTGATATGTAAGGATTAGCTCCAGTCCCACAATCAAATCTGCATTCTTGCAGAGATATGTGACTTCGGGTGTAGGCAGATCCCCACACCTATCTAATTGCAGCAGCTAAGGCTAACATTGCCACGTTGCTATGGCACTCATCTGCATGCCGAGACCAGCCCTGTCCTACAGTTATGCACTGTGATCCTTGTGGAGCCAGTCACCTCTCACTTGTAGTGTTGCCCCAGAGCTCCTCTACCCCTTGGGAAGGCAGAAAGCACCTGAAGGTCTCAGCTCCAAAGTGCTAGTATGTGACATGCAAGGTCAAAGATGTTGATGACCTGGATATACTGCTTTTGTGAAAGACCTAGTTGACAAAGGCCCCTGAACTTCCCTAACCCTTATCCTCTCAGAGTGCAAATCAAACTTCCCTTATTCCCAATGAAAATAAATCACAAATTAGATAAAGACAGCATATTTCATGAGGGGGGGCTCCATCCAGAATGTGTTTCTGCTAATGGCTGTTTTACATCTGAAGCAATCTTTTCCTTGTCCCCAGCCTTACCAACAACAAACAGCAAGCCTCCAATTCCTCGCACAAAGTTGAAACGGAGTATTTCGACCGAGAATGCTATGACTGCCAGGGCAAAGCAGATGACCAGGATCACAAAGCCAACAAGGTACGTGGCGGCTGCTGCTCTCCCCCATCCTTGGGAAGGAAACAAGAAAGATGTTACATACAGCAGTGCATTGAACTGTAGGTCATTGTAGGTCTTTTATTTCCTGTAATTATTTCTTTATTGAAATCATTTACTGTAAAAAGCATGCCCTACATCAAAACAGTGCTGGATGTCTCCAAAGTGTACAGCTGCACAGCAAAGAGGCACTAGCATAAGTGAAACAGCACAGAACTCCTTTCCCATTAATTCATGCTGCTGAAAAGAGGGAAAGTATATAATGGTAATACAGATAACATATTCAAAATGAGTATCTAAAAGAGACCCATGGCTATCTGAGAAGATAGGGCACACAGCCTCTCAGAAAGCACTTTATCGCTATCATTTCTGTTTAACATAAATTTACAAAACCACTTCCACACACGGCGAAGCATGAGAGAAGACAAGAGGGTATCATCACAAGAGATAATGCCCGGAATTAATAACACGTCTTGTCTGTTTATGACAAGAGCAAAGCACGAGAAGTAAAATTAGTAAGACCAAAACGAATTAGATTTGGAATAGCTGAGGTGACAGACAACCAAGAGAACACTTGACGATAAATACCTATTCACAGCTGAAAAGATTCAGAAACAGTTAAAATGTAGTGGGTGGGGGAGAAAAGCAGAGTCAGAGGTAAAGTGGAAGAGCTTCTTTGAGGCGTTACTTTGATATTCGATGGGACAGGGCACTGCATAGACACTTACACTCAAGTAACAGCATCAAGTAACTGAAGGCTAAAGAGGCTCAAACATTAAGAAAGTGACCTCATCCCAGAAGAGCAGCAGTGGGTGTTGAGAGCTCATCTTTCACAGTCCAGTGCCAGGGCAATAAAAGGAAAAAAAAGCTCCCCGATAAAGAACCAACAGTTCCCATTTTACAGTTACACAGGCTTGTGAAAAAAGGTATGCATTATTCCAGACCTTATTCTATCTAGAAACTATTTACAAGTTCGGGTGAGCACATTGCAAACAACAACAAGAAAAAGGTATTCCCATCCTGGAGGCAGGATCCTTATCTATATAGGTTAAACTATAGGTACCAACACTTTGGTTTCAGTGAGCTGTTACCACAGCTCACTTTCCATGTCTCCATAAAAAGTGTTTCTACTTTAACATATTCAGACATAAGTAGGGCCAGATCCCGAGCTCCCTCTAACGTAGGAATAAAGGGAGCAGCTAGACCTAGGTCAGGACGTTTTTAGCAAATGTCTCTTTCGTCAGAAACAAAGCTAAAGTGATTCTGGAGATATTTTGTTTTTAATGTCGTCTCTGTCCAATAAGTTATTTGTGTGCAAAAAGTAAGAGGGAAAAGACAGTGAGACAGAGAACGTTTTTTGGAAGAGTTAAAGTTCACCACCTTAACCAGTGCATCTACTAGTTATATAAATGGAGAAAAAAATAGTAATTTGAGCCAGAAAAAGGAATGAAAATATCTCAGACACTCCTTCTCTGTACATCAATTTACTCTCCGAAAGCAAACACTGTTTTACAGCTATTTTCATTAAATCAGTCTGTGCTGGTTTCTTGGTCCCCCATCCCAATAAGGAACAACATCACTTCTGAAATCTCAAGTGAAATACAGCTGCCATCCGTCAGCCAGGTCTTCGTCCAAAGCGCACCCCCACCCTGAAGGTAGTCAAGCTGGCACAGAAAGGGTGGAGGAAAGGGTTTTCTTTTCCTTTCCCCTCCCCCTTCAGGAATCCCAGAGCTACCCAGGACAGCAAACAGTTTTCAAACTAGCTCCCTTAGTCTCCCCCATTCCTCCTTCAACCAGTTTGACATGTTTCATATCCCTTCCCTAAGAGACTGCCACGGGGGGAGCAGGGAGGGAGGACACCTGGTCAGCATGTGCAGATTGCAGCTATGTCAGTGGTCAGATAAAATCTTTACATACCAAATATCCTCTGATGTACCTAATGTAGATGGTGGATATTGTCTCCACAGCAGGATTTATTTAGGGGTAGCTGATACAGAAGGATATTTAACCATAACACAAAGCCACCTCGGGAAAAATGATTCAGATTAAACAAACTAGGAATGCCATTTATTAGTATTTGTTCTATTAAGAAAAAAAGTAACAACTACAACAAAAAATACTTTTTGTTATCAAAGTACATTCTTCTTCAAATGCATTATATATGCTGGCACAGTGCAGGAAGCCATGTCTGGCATCTGCCTGATAAAAGTTAGATTGCAAACTCAAATACACGAGCAGGTCAGACACCTGGAAGTCTGGTGCAACACAAACATGACTGTAAGGGATACAAGCTAGAAAGCCCACAGTGCTATCTCAGCTATTTCCAAATCCTATGTTAGCTTACAAGTATAAAAACTTTTGTATACGAGTCAGCCCTGGCTCCATTCATTGGAAATTATTTGCTTGTCTTGGTGGTATGAAAGTAGCAAAACATTTAGCTGTAGGGGACGTCAAGCCAGGGAGCTAGGAAGACTAATATCAAGTACAGCAATGATTCAAGTCTTCATATATAGGGCAGTAGCACGCAGAACCCAGTTCTCAAAAAGTTAATCAGAAGTCTTTTAATAAGTGACTCGAATAAGAGATTGGGGCTGGAGGCTGTGCCCTCGCTGAGCGTGAGGTGAAGCCGTGGCAGCCTCCTTTTCCACACAAGCTTTTCCAACCTCTGTGTCCCGCGAGAGCTTTCAGTAGCAGTGCTGCTGCAGGGTTCTCACTGAAAATTGCTATTTTCCCATGCTGGACCACCGTCACCCCCAAACTACCGAGGCAGGCTTTCCTGGCCCTTTTTCAAACCAGGGACTTTTGAGAGTTGATTGAACCTCCCCAGCCACCCAGCTCTCAATCTTTGCCTGCAAGGTCCTCTGCCTATGGCTCCTGACTGTCCGAACGGGAGAGGCATGTATTTTCCCTCACAGTTTGCTGCTTTGAGAGCTGGAAAGATATGCTCGCATCCCAAGAAAGAGAGATCAGCCTCAGTTTCCAGTTAGTGTGTGCTCAGAAGAACCTCACCACAAGATATTTAACCAGAATCTAAACTTCCCCCAAAACAGAAAAGACTCAGGTCCACTCATTTGGCACACAGAGTATTTCTTACTCAAAACAAGCATAAATATGATATCTGTTTATCATATCTGTCAAACAATACCAAAGTATTTGGGGCTGCATAAATAGAAGAAGCACATCCCATAGTTTGAAGCACTAGTATTGCCCCAGTCAGCTTTACCTCAAAGAAGAGTTGAGTTCTCAACATCTCATCATGGAAAAGTATTTATCTATTAGGCGATGTTCAAAGAACACCAACAAAGCTGTTCAGGAGCTGAAGGGCTATAATTATTAGGAAGGATTAAAAGTGTTATTATACAGTTTGATTAATGATGACTAAGCAAAGAATATAATGCTACAAATGTTAGCATGCAAATAACAAGGAGGGGCTGGGGTTATTTCAAGCTAATGACGATCATCAGTAACATGACGAAACTAAAAAAAAAAAGTTATTATTAGCTAAACATCCTGATTGTATTCACCTATGCTTCAACCTCAGCAGGGAAGAGATGGAAGCTCTACAGCGTAGGACATTTAAATCTAGATTTCCCTTTAGATATGAATAAGAGCACTGGGAAAATAGTCTAGCATCAGCAGGGATGGACTATTACAGGATTTGAAGTAATAAGCCTTTCTCATCTCTGTTCACTTATTTACAAAATGAGAAGATAGTTTGTTAGCTTATGAATAACTGGGATCTTAGAGTAGAAGTTTTTACATTGATATGCTTAGATGAGACATGTTTTTACACTGTAATTTTGATATTTTTCCTGTATATAAGTGACAGTAACAGCATTTATTCAGCCTTGAGAGCTCATAACATGGACTGCTCAGAAAACACGCTTTGTTGACTAAAGAAAGCAGTAGTGGGCTGTGAGCAAGAGACCACTGTCAACAATATTTTCTTGCTCACATAATGTGCAAACTTCCATGACAACATGACTGGTGAAAGAAAAGTATGTCCATACCCATCATGAGTACAGGACAGCCCAGAATCTAAGGTTTGCTAGGAGAACTAGTTGAGAGTTATCACTGGGAATCCCGTTTCTGTTTAGTTTTCAGGAGTCTGGAATAAGCCATTGCTAAGCTACCAAACTATTAAATAAAAGTCCAGCAGTACAACCTCTGCTTCTGCCATTCAGCTCTGACTGGAACTCAGCAGACGCAAAATCCTGGAAGCTTCCAGCTTGTAACGCTTCCCTGTTGCTTACAGTAGAAATGCGCCTGCCCGCTGTGCTACCAACCCACTGGCACAGATGCAAGCCTACCGTGCTGGGGCTAGACTTCTACTTTTTTTTTTTTCTTTTAGCTATCTTTATTTAATCTTTTACTGGGGAGTTTCAGCAAATTTTGGGGGGTGTAGACAGACAGACAGACCAACTGCCGCCTCTCTTCTCTTAGCGTTCTCTGAGTGCCTTTGCTGAGCAGACGTTAACAAACTGAGCTTGTTTGTCTGGAATTCATCCTGGCATCATAAATCAGACAGAAATACGCCTGAAAGGAGGCAACGGTGAGATTAGTGTATCATCTGTAACATTCCGCCATTGTTTATCAGGCCCCTCAGTGAAGTCCACATGCGCACACTTTCACCAATGATCTTAGGTATCAAAGTCCATTCCTCCAGCAACCCTGCTACACTGACACAGCAGCAGTGAAACAGGATTCACAAAGGTTGGGCTCCTAATTCTGAGTTCCAACTTTTTTTTTTCTCCTTTGGCACTTACTAAAGATCCTGATAAACACTTCCATTTTTCTAAGTTAACTATTGTATGCTTAATGAATACCAGCTGGCTGTTAGGCATATAAGAAAGAGTTAACTACCACGGGAGCACCTTTAGCACACACATACACACCCGTCATTTATAGTGGTAATTCAAACCAAGTCAGAGGGAGCAACCATTTAGACCTAGGAGGACATTGCCACCCACAAATATTGTTCCTAAACTTACAGCTTCATCACTGTAGAGATAAAAGCAACCTGCTGTTCCCAAGTAACCACATTGCAAACAACCCTATTCATATTTGATGGCTTCCTGATATGTTTCAAACACACAGTCAACAGTTCAATCCTGCAATGGTCCAGAGTAAGTCATTTTGAGTCATATTATAGTGCAGAATGGCAGCTACGCATTGCAACATGTTCCTAATATACAGATGCTGCCAGGCAGGCACTTCCCAGATGCAAACCAGTACAGATTTCTAAATAAAATCCTTTCCCCGCCTCCCTACCAAATGATATCCTCCTCCTCTTTTTGCTTTTCCACTTCTTCCCTCTCTTGTGGCATTGCAAATGTGCATTAAGAAGTAGTTTGTTTGAGGAGACACTCCTATTTGCAATTCTATGTGCATCTCTTCCTGCCCCTTCTTCCCCATTTGAAATAAGTGGCTCGGCTGCCTTTTCTCTTTCTCACCTTAGTATACATGCCACAGCTCATATAAGAAGCTCAGTCTAATGTAGCTTTCTGTCAATGGGCATCCACTCTGAAGTTTTCTTTTTGTCAGGCGCAGGGTGGTTGGTGTATCGTACTTACTGTATGCAAAACACAAGTTATGCATCTCAATTAACTAACTTTTATTTTCCTGCAGCAGTACTGTAAATGCCTGCTAGGCATTTTTCCCCATGTAAATGCCCGTGCCTATTTTAAGTTTAATTTCATTAGCATAAAAAAAAAGGAAAGGAAATAAATCAAACCTGAACTCATATGTTACATCCTGTCTCTAGATGTAAATCGTACTTGAGTAGAAGGTGACATTCATTTCATCAAAATTGCAGAAGAGGCAAAGTCAAGCTGTTTTAAATATGCTGTAAGTAAAGGATACTTTTCTCTTCTGACAGCTTGTTAGCTAGAGAAAACAGCAGAATGGCGCTTTTGCCCCAGACTGCTGAGGATTAAAGTGAAGTGCACAACCATCAGCACGCAGGGGCGTGAAAAGCAGTGGCAGCACAGAAGAAAGCAAATTTCAGCAACTCTACCATATTACTTTTCTTCATAGTGTAATGGGGTACGCAGTTATTTTGTTACAATAGCCAGATTTCCTTCGCTCACAGTAAAGCCTGCAGTCATCATCTGGCCAAGAAATGAAGCGATCGCGCTGGCAATATAGTCAGGCTTGAGCTCACGCACAAGTGTTGCAATGAAAAGCTTATGGAAGGCCACCAGGCTCAGCAGGCAAGGGGCACACGGCTGGCAAGTACTCCCTGGCAGATCTGTGAGAGGGTAAGACTTTCCCCTTGCCTTTTCCAGTGTCACCTCCCAAAGAACCCTAGTTCAGGCTTCTAAGGCAGGTCTCCTCCTTCATCCATAAGTATTCCAAATTAGGAAAAAGCAGATGCACTCAGACAGCATGTTTTAGCAAAAAGTCGTCCCCCCCCCCCATCCTCTCAAAAAACACAAAGAGATCCCGGGAGCGCATGGTGAGAATATCACACCGGCAGCACCAGGCAGAAAAGCAGCTAAGCAAGTTAAAGCAGAGGCACGATTACGCTCAGATCTAGGTCCCCCACGCAACACGGGGGTACAGGCAGCGCCTCCCTAGCTGCCAGGGCTCGGGTCCTCTCTCCCGCTGGAGGCATAGAAGGAAGATAATTTTGCAGCTGTGCTGGTGTGGCTCTGCACAGGGAGCCCTAATAAAGGTTTCTATGTTTACGGTTTGCTCGGGACGGAAGCCCTACATGAACGTTTCTCCGCAAGGCCTGTCAGCCCCGGTCACGGCTGCAACCAGCCAACGCGGGACAGGAAGCCAACCCGCGGAAAAAAAAAAAAAAGACTGGCTCCTTACTATTGCACTGACAGCAGAGATTGCTCCGAAGCAGTTTGAGGGCGGATTTTCTTTGCTGTTTTGAACTCCGAACAGCCTTAGGACTGCTTCTGCTTAGAACCCCCACTGCCACTAAGCAACGAAATTGCCACGGGAGGAAGCGGGGGGACATCCGTGTTGCCAACGTCCGCCAACAGAACCGCTTTCCTAGCCCGGGTGACGGGGAGGTGCCGCTGCGAGAGCGTGGCGCGGGCGGCGGGCAGCCTGCCCCACACTCCCCGTCATCCCTGAG